TCGACATCTCCAGCAAGTTAGGGTGGGGGACGGCGCCGCAAATCGCAGCTGGAGTTCTAGGGATTTCTCCCCGAAGGAGAGGTTTCGTGGCAGAGGTGAATGGGGAAGAAATAGGACGCGAGCCCTAAATCGACCCGGAGCCGTCATATATACCAGAATCACGGGCGGTTTACCGGCCTCCCATAAACTATTTACGGGCCGGGCTCTTTTTAGCGGGCCTGCTCAGGCCATTTTTTGGGCCATCCTGTAAAATGGCCAAAAAAACGCACTTCACCGGAGTTATACGGGAGCTGCTAGGGATGCTCTGATGCTGGCTCGAATTCACACCCAATTTAAAGGACATAACTGTCTGAGAGTGTGTGCCTTATTATGGGCAATTTAAAATTGCCGGAGCGATTGAGTTTTTAGCGGCACAGTTCTTACAAACATTTTGAATGTTACTTTCAGATGGATCCACAAATGGTCTTTATTGCAGCATGCGGAAGCTCAAGAGTGTATGGCCTTTCGGAGACGGCAGCACATTATTCATTCAGTCGGTTTCGCTGGCTCAATACACGTTATGTGTTTTTGTCGTGTTTTTTTTTTTGGAAAAAAAGGATGACCCCCGGCCTCTGCATCTGGGAGCTGCATGCGGCCATTTTATTAATTATTCTCGAGGATATTACAAGGTAGGACAAGAATATGTTTAAATCCGTCATCTTGGCAACATCTGCCGCTACTCCTATCCAAATGATAAAGGGGTGCAAGCTGGGCCACATACCCAAACCTCTCACCTAAGCCTAACATTTATAGCCGGAGGCACCGACCGAGCCATCTGCCAGGTCCGAGGCTCAAACCGGTCCAACACACTCATATGTGTCGTCACCGCCGTCTTCCACTTGTTCATCTTCAGAGCAGATTGAGGTGACAACCTTGGCAGGTCCTCCGCCATCGACACCACCACGACACCAAACGATGACCTCCACCTACGCGAGCCTTGGCAGGTCCTCTGCCATTGACGCCACCACGACATCAGCCGACGACCTTCACCTACGCGAGTCCATCTCCAAGCAACGGACGTAAATCCATCATAGGATAGGGCCGCACCACCGCCGTCACCCACCACCCACAAGCCTCACCCAACCCCAAGGTTCCCAAAGCGGCGCCTACAAGAAGGGAACGGCGCCGTGAGCGCCGCCGCCGCCCAACAAAGTTAGGGCTTTAGCCCGGGAGACCTAGGGGAAGGTGAAGTGAGGAGATCACTCCATACTGACGCCTCCAAGGAGGGGAACGGCGCCCTCAGGTGTCGCCGTCGGCGCGGCCGGTCAAGGCCGGCCAGCTATTTCACCCGAACTAGATCCCCGCCACGAACACCGCCTCCTGTACAGAACTAGCAACCAAGAGAAAGCGCGGCCCGACCAGGCTGGCCCGCACGCCGAACATGGGAGGAGGGGAGGCGCCAGACTGCACGCAACGGCCGCCGCAGAAGCCGCCGTCGGCCACCAGCGATCATCGGATCCCGCCCGTGCGGCCAGGGCACCAGATCCACCGCCCGCACGGGTGCTAGCCGGCTGTGCCTTGCCAATGGAGCCGCCACTCCAGATCCGGGGTTCCCACGCAGAAGCAGGGCAACCGAGGCCCCGCCGCCACCATCCTTGGCGCCCCGGGCTTGCCCGACAGCTGCCTCATGCGGCGGAAAGAAGGTGGGACGAGGTGGGGAGGGGGCCACGGCGGCGCGGCTAGGGTTCCCCCGCCGCCGCCGGGGGAGGCGACGCGGGGTCGCGAGAGGAGGGGGTCGTGAGAGAAGGGGGTCGCGAAAGGAGGAGCTGGAGGTGGGTGTGTTTTTGTCATGTTATCCTACCAGTTGTGTCATGTTTTTTTTACCTTTTCATTTTAACGGATGAATTATGCGTACTTAATTAAGACACATGTGTGCATCAGAATGATGCATAGGCCGGTTGTTAACCTTCTTTTAAGAAAAACTCTTCATTAGTTTTTTTTTTGCGAACCTCTTCTTTCGTTCTTGTGATGTTTTGAATCATTTGGGCCATGCATCGAGAGTGAAACCAAGTTCTGCCTAGGGATTTGGTTACCAGAGGGAAAATTTTGTCACCTCATGGTTACTGCACAAGTTACAAGGATTAAAGCAACATATACTAGTAGGCTAGACAAGGAGACGTGCCGTACTAGCCATGCGGTGAAGCAACCATGGGTGTAGCATCAGGGAACTCCCAATGCTTGCATCTTAGCATGGTCTCATAGGTAAAAGTATTATGTGGCATCATAGTTAATGAGTAAAGAGAGAGCAACCATATCATAATCTAGATATAGATCTTAGCACCAAACCAGGTCATCTTACTGCTTTATTACTATCAAAAAAAGACATTAAACGAGGTTTTTATGATACAACACTAAGATATAGTGCATTGGGACTGTTATATCTGAATATCTATTTAATATCGTTAGGTATATCTTATTCTAAAAGGCAACTAGGAAAAGAAAAAGAGGGGAGGCTCACGGAAGAAAAATGCCTCCCGGGTCACTCCTAGGGCGACTCCGGAGGCCACCCCCGCCGCCGGCCCTAGGGTACCTTAAATCTCTGCCCTCCCCGCGCCACCGCCGGAGGAGGCCGTCGGAGCTGACGGCGGCGGCGGGGCTCTTCCCTTCTGACTTTCTCCTTCCCTCCCCGCGGTTGGCTAGCCTCCTTCTGCCGCCAGAACGGGACGCTTGTGCCTAGATCTCGTGTCCTGTGGGTGCTGCAGCGTCAACATGACCATCCATGTGCTCCATCGGTCGTGTCCTCCGATGATCTGTACTGGTGGTGTTGTTGTGCGGCGCTGGTCAAGGGCAAGATCTGAAGGTTTGCGTCACAGACAGGCTGGATCTGGCGGGATCTAGCATGTGGTAGCTTGCAGGCAGCTGGTGCTGGCGTGGATCGACATGATCTGGCGCTCGGATGCGATGCCTCGAAGGTGCTTGAGGCGGTGGATGTCTGAATCTCAGTTCTGCTTCACCAGGCGGCTTTCAGGAGACGTGCCTCCTTTGTGGGCGTCTGGGCAGCGATTCACGCCGTGTCTTGGTCGGGTGCTGATCAAGCAGATCTCGGCTGGCTTGTTTCGGTGATGGCCGGCTCTTTCACGGCATCCCCGTGTGACTAATGTGAACGGGGCCTCTTTCTGGTGGTCATTCGTCGGCTTGGTATATGCGGTGGTGCATCCGTTGGAGAGGGAA